TATTCTTTCAGTTTTTCCATCAAACATGTCACTATGTGAGCTAGCGGTCAATATAATGGAATAAAGTCATAAAAGATTTAGAGGCCAAAAAGGGCTAGGTGATTTTTTGACGTATGTATAAACCTTTATAGACAAATTTACTTGTTACCTATATTGGTAAAGATAACTACCTGATCGTCAAGGTGTGCGTAAGCTGATTCACATACCATCGTTATTAAAATAAAATAATCTATTTTCTTTCGGCTTGTTCATGCCTTAAATGATAAATTATTGATTTTAAAAGTAATTGTGACGACAGAGAACACTCACACCACAATAAAAACATAAAGAATTGGTGTTTTATTTACAAGTCACAAATGCAAATGGAGATCGAGTCAACCCCATCCTACTCGACATTGATTCATGGTTGAAAGGGATATGCAGTCTCTTAATGTACTTAATTGATGATTATCCGTACAATAATTACTCTTAATTTTCTCGTTAATAAATCGGATTCAGATAAATTTTGTATGAGCTATAATCCATTGGCCTATGTGATCTCAGCACTGGAACAGTTGAATCAAAGTCAAAACATAACATGATAGGCAAGATTCTCATTTTCTTGTACGTCATATTCTTGTTTGTAAATGGACCTTATGCCTTTTGTAGAGGTGGCATTTGAGCTCAAACTCATTTAACCCGCTCAATCCATTCAAGATTGGGTCGATAAGTGATTCGCCCCATCTCAATCCATAAAATTGGGTTGATTTTTAAGCCAAATTGATCTAGGAATAACTTTGCTAAATTATATTAAAAAGTAATTTTCTTTCATATGTTATATATGACCATAACAAAAGGAAAAAAATCTTATTTGATAATTAAACAATTAATAAGAAAACATACACATTATATAAAGCTTGGTAAGAGTTGGGACCCAAATTTTTTCCTATCTTTACCCAGCCCATATCAACCCAAATAACTTTTGGGCGGCCATTGAGTGCTTATTTATTGACTCAATCCATTTTAATCGCCCAAAATCCGCCAAACTCACCTAATTTTTACTTTCCTCCCCTGAGAAATGAAGTATAAAAGAAAACTCTCATAAGAGCAATAGATAGGAAGACGAAAATAAAATTAAAGGCTAGGCGATTTTCTTCCTATCTAACTAAACTTTGGTGGCCCGAGCTATTTGGTACTTGTACTGATAAAACATAGCAGATACCAATGAAATAATCTTTTTACAGATTAGTTTTAGCGGTAGCACTTTCACTAACAGAATTTAAAAAGTAAAATAAAAAAGCACACAAAAAGGCAAGGGAATTCATCACCAAAGTACCAGATAAAAAGAAATTAACCTTATATACACAGTATAATTTATAGGAAAGGAGGTTAATCCCTCCTACTCCTAAACCCGCCCTGATATATATGTGTAAGCTAGCCCGACATCACCATTGAGCAATATATAGAAGGAAATATTAAAACTCCACAGAATGTGAATGAAGAATTACAGATCCCAATTATAGGGATTGAATATACATCTCAACAGCATAGTATATACTGAAATATATGAAAGAATTACTTAGACCAACAAAAAAAGAAAAAAAAAAGATCCTTCAAATGTTAAACAGTATAATTAAAATGCTAGCAATTAGCATTAGTGCCATAGAGGATTTACTACCTTTTGTAGAATTGCTCTTTTGCTCCTCAGGTTTATTTCCTTCAGGAGGAGTGATATTATCACAATTTAAACCTTTTTTGTCTTCCTTACACATATTGGCAAAAAGACCAGGTGGATATTTCCCATAAAGATTAATGTAATTAAACATAATTGTTGCACAACCATTTTGCACATCATTTATTTCATCCATATGGTTGCAGGCTAATTGCTTGAATGCATTGCAACATAGAGTTTCATTGTAGTGAGGTCCTTTGCATTGGCTTGTTACAATGGTGTAATTCTCCTTCTCAAAATCAACAGGACAATCTTTTAGGAAAAGAAAAATTAAAAAATAGAAGTTAGAACACTAGTTTAAATTGGTAGTTAAGCAAATTATAAAAGAATAAAAAAACAAACAGAAACTGATTTTGAGTTGGACAGGTTGAGTTATGACCTACAATCTATGATTTAGCCCAAATTGGCATGTCCGTTTTTGTGACGACCCGACCAGTCGTCTCATGAGTTACCGCTCCGTTTCCCCCATTTCTGCTTCTTTATGCTTCGTTATCCGTGTTTTATGTGGTCGAGTTGATTGGTTTGCGTTTGGAGTGAATTTGGTAAGAAATGAGACACTTAGTCTCTTCTAAGAAGGCTTAAGTTAGAAAAGTCAACCGGATGTTGACCTGTATGTTAGAGGGCTCGGATGTGAGTTCCGATGGTTCGGTTAGCTTCGGGAGGTGATTTGTGGCTTAGGAGTGTGGTCGGAATTGGTTTTAGAGGTCCGGTGTAGAATTAGGCTTGAATTGGCGAAGTTAGTATTTTGGCGAATTCCGGTTGTTAGGTGAGATTTAGATCCGAGGGTCGGAATGGAATTCCGAGAGTTGCTGTAGCTTCGTTATGTGATTTGGGATGTGCGTGCAAAATTGCAGGTCATTTGGATGTGGTTTGGTTGGGTCTTTGATCAAAAGCGTGTTTCGAAAGTTTTTAGAAAACTTAGGCTTGAATTCGATGTGAAATGATGGATTTGGTGTTGTTTGAGGTGTTTTGATGATTGGAACAAGTTTGAATGAGGTTTTAGGATGTGTTGCTACTTTTGGTTGAGGTCCCGGGGGCCTCGGGGTGATTTCGGATGGCTAACTAGAAAAATTTGACTTGAGTGATTGCAGATTTCTGCTGCTTCTGGTGTTTTCGCACCTGCGGTTTGGGGACCGCAGGTGCGGTATCGCAGATGCGTGGTTTAGTCGCAGAAGCGGAAAGGCTGAGGGAGGCCTGGAACCGCAGATGCAGAAAAGGGACCGCACCTGCGGAGCCGCAGATGCGGCGAGTGGACCGCAGATGCGGTTGGGTCCGTTAAGTGAAATTTCCGTAGATGCGGAGAGATGACCGCAGAAGCGGAACCGCAGAAGCGGGTGCTGGACCGCAAATGCGGTTATGACTGGGCAGAAGGTATATATAGTTCTTCTTCGCGATTTTTGAAGGGTTTATTCATTTTTAACTTCGGACATAGAGTTTTTGGGCGATTTTGAAGAGAGCTTTCAAGGGTACTTCGATAAGGTAAGGATTTTGGACCTAAAACACACTTCTATGGTAATATTTCACGGATTGGGACAGAAATTTAAGGAATTTATGGACTAAAAATGAGGGTTTAGGGCTTGAGTTTAAGAGAGTTTAAATTGGGAATTTGAGGGGTCAATCGGACTCCGATTCTTGTGATTTTTATATGTATGAACTCGTGGGAGGACGAGGAATCTGATAATGTGAAAGTTTATGAGTTTCGAGAAGTGGGCCCGGGGCTCGGGTTTTGCTAATTTCGGGATTTTTGATATTTTTTGATTGTTTTCGCTTGGGCTTTGTTCCCTTAGCATATTGTGACGTATTCGTTCTGGTTTTGGTTAGATTCGACGTGCGTGGAGGCCGATTCGAGGGGCAAAGGCATCGCGAGCTAGAGATTTAGCCGGTTCGAGGTGAGTAATGATTGTAAATGATGTCCTGAGGGTTTGAAACCCCGGATTTGCACATCGTAGTGCTATACTGAGGTGAGACACGCGCTTGATGATGAGCGCGAGGTCGTTTACTATTGGGGATTGTGACTTGGTCCGTCCCGAGTGATGATTTTACCGCATATTTGACTGAAACTTATTTGTTATCATCATGATTTGGGCTGATTGTCATATTTGGGCTTCGTGCCAACTATTTGAACCTTCCTGGGATTTTGTCACTGTTTTCCTCACTGTATTGATTTATTACTTGAACTCAGTCCTACTGCTTTTCACTGTTTTACAACTCAGGCACTTTTATTCAGTTTCGAGACTTAAATGATATTTCTAAATGTTGTTTTGGGCTGAGGACTACTGTTTACTAATGCCCAAGGGGCTTGTGATGATTTTTTTTTCCCGGACTGAGTACGGCCGAGGGCCATATGTGAGGATATACTGAGTGATATGAGGCCGACGGCTTGAGATAAATTTATACGCCACGAGGTGGCTTGAGTGATGTGAGGCCGAGTGCCGAGAGATGATGCCACGAGGTGGCTTGATATAGCGCTTAGGCTGTAAGGGGCCCCTCCGGAGTCTGTACACCCCCAGTGAGCGCGGGTACCCATTTGATCTGAGAGTGAGCCCGAGGGGCTGATACTGTTCTGAGTGATTGATACTGTGCCCAAGGGGCGGATTTCTATTTGTTATTTACTTGTCAAATTATCTGTTTTACTTGTTAACAAGGGAATTTACTTGATTACTTCATTGATTTACTGTTTAAAGTGATTTTACTGCTTCTCTATAGATTATTTTGTGCTTTCGCGTGTTTTCTTACTTTCAGTCATTATTTATATTTATTACTCACTGGGTCGGAATACTCACATTACTCCCGGCACCGTGTGTACAGATTCAGGCATAGCAGGTCCCGCTCCCGAGTGTTGACTCGTCCCAGCTCAGGAGGATCTTCGAGGAAACTTTAGGTAGCTGCTGGCGTTCGCAGCCTGAAGCTTCTCTCTATCTATATCTTTACTTTCCACTCTAGTATTGAGACTCTGTAGTTACATTTGAGAGATTTGTTATCTTAAACGCTCGTGACTTGTGACATCCCGGTTTGGGCTGTGTCGGGATGGTTTCCCCTTATTGTTATCTATGTTTCCGCGAATTTATTACTATTTAATCATACTTTAAACTGTTTACGATCATTAGTTGTGTTAAAAGGTGTATTGTGTTGGTCTGGCTGGCCTTGTCTTCACGAGAGGCGCCATCACGACCGGATTCGAGGTTGGGGTCGTGACAGTTTTGATTAAAGCAAACATTAAATTTGTTGGGCTAAAACAGCCAAAAAATAATCTTAACATGGTTGCTATTGCCCACTTTGGGCCAAACTCGCATGCTTTTTCCAAGGTCTCACACCATTAAGAGATCCATACATAGACTCTCAATCTTTTTAGCTACCGATGTGGGACTTTGTTTGCACACTCAACAATTTCCCCCTCGAACTAAGTTCCACGAGGCTCATTACCATGATCCACGGGTCAATTTTCGAGATTCACAGTGTGTCACTCACATTGTACTCTGATACTAATTATTTGGCTAAACCAATCCAAAGATACTCTTACCATTTTGTAATATTATACGCTTTGGGCCAAGCCCGTACGATTTACCCCCAAAGGCATCATACCCAGAGGAGGAGTCAGGATTTCAAGTTTATGGGTTCGGAGATTCTAATTGTTTTCAGTTACTGGGTTCTAAATTAATAATTTATATATATTCAATGAATTTTTTAAGAAAAATACATGGTTCGAACCAAAGCTACAGGGTTCGGCCGAACCTGCACGGGACATTCTAGCTCCGCCCCTGATCATACCATTAAGATATCCCTACACCTTATGTATAGACACTCAATCCTTTCAGCTACTAATGTGGGGCTTTGTTCGTACCCCAACAAAATTGTTATGATTCAACTCCTTAATTGATTAGATCTTTTTTAACCTGTCCTAATATAGCACAACACACCCTTTTGACTAAATTTCAAGCTTGTGTTTTAAAGTAAACTACTGATTTAACGTAACTGGTAAACATTTTGTCGTAAAGAAGCTTTATTCATGCAAAAGGTACGTTATTTTTAAGAAAAAGTTGCCAAAGAATATAAGCCTAAATTACATCAATTCTTGAAATTAATTGCATTCTCAATATTTAAAAGTTTACTGAAGAAAGAGAATAAAATAATAGGAGGGGTTAAGGAATACTAACTTCCTTGTTGCTGAAGAAGGGCACGTCCCGTTTGCACACGAGCTTCAAGCACGTCATCTGCTCCAATACAAAGGGAATTTTAAACAAAAAAATAATATCAATTCTTTTTTGTTAATATTGCAATTTGAATATAAAAACAAGAACATAAAAATAAAAATAAAAATAAAAATGGAGGAATTACTTTTGATGTAGAATGGGGAAGGGGAAGCCAAGCCAACGAGAAGGAAGAAGAGAAACAAGAAGAAGCATTTTTTGAACCCCATCAGGTTCTCTTCTTCTTTTCTATAGATTAAATCCTATTAATATCTTTATTTTTTCCAGTAAATACGATGACAAATCTCTTTGAAATTTTCACAATTTTGTTTTTTGTTTAGAGAGAGAAATGTTTGATTAAGGAACGGAAGCTAATGAAGAGAAAAGAGAGAGACTCGGAGAAAGAAAGGCAGAAAATTGATATGAGGAAGATTTAATTTGTTTGATCTGATTTCAATCCATTGATTTGTTTAGATTTATTGATTAATTTCTCTAGTTGGAGAGGTCTCTCCAAAAATAATTTTCTGTCGAATATTTATTTGAAACATGTAACTCCGGCATCCTTATTTTACTATTTTAATAATTCTATCTCTTTCGTACCATCAAAAGTTGTGGTGGGATGAATAAAACTTATTCACCATTGAAAAAATTATGATAGGGAACGCTTCCCCTTTAATAGGTTCTAAATAGCACAAAATTGAATTAGTAGAGGTACTAATACGAACATCGAACACCGGGTAAAAAATTAAGAAGAAAACTATCTCTTTCATTGAAAAAGCGGAGGAGTTATTTTATAGTTTTTTTTTGGTTAACTATATATATATATATATATATATATATATATATATATATATATATATATAACATTCACAAAATTACATCAATATAGGGGATAAGGTCCCCTGTTGATTGTTATCAGTGTCTACCGAAGTTGCCATATTACAAACATTTACTTTTCTTTCAAAAACAGTTCCTGAGATATCTGCCCACATTGCTCGTTTAGCAACACCGGAGAACTGCCAAAAACTGGTCTTGACAAAAACTTCCTTCCTAGCTCCTTCCTTTGCGAGGAGGTCCGCCACTTGGTTCTGCTCCCTGTAGCTACGTCCTATGACTGGGTTCCCCAACTGCTCCATCAGATACCTGCATTCAGAAATTGTGGGGTTGTGAGTTAAGTTGCCATTTTTTAACATTTCCAACACCATTTTAGAGTCGGTGTCAATCACCAGAGGTGCCAAGCCTTGGTCTAGGGCTATTTTTAGCCCCGACCATAGGGCTTGGAGCTCTACCCTAAGACTATCAGTGTTTGGGAGACCCCTCATGAAGCCTAAGATCCAGTCTCCCCTGTTGTTTCTAAATACCCCCCCCCCTCCCGGTACCCCCTTTCCCTGTGTTAAGGCATGCAGCCCCATCAGTGTTCAGCTTGTAAAAGCCTATATTTGGTGGGCGCCATTGTAGGTATAAGGTGGTTGTTGTCGGAGCAGTCCATGAAGTGGCTACTACATGGTGGTATTCAACAGCCTTAGCTATTGTTTGGTGAGCATTAATGCGGTTCTTCCTCTTTTCAAAGACATTAGAGTTCCTGGTTACCCAGATTTCCCAGAGGCAGAAGGGTAACAGTTGTTTCCATTTGATGCAAGCATTATAGTCCACATTTTGGAGCCTATGCCATGTGTCTTCCCAGTTGTGTAGCAAATGCTGCCAGAATTATTTTGCATTCGCACATTGAAAGAAGATGTGGTTTATGTCTTATATTGCATGATCACAGAAGGAGCAACTAGGGATAATTCTCAGGCCAATGTGGTGTAAGTGATTTCCTATAGGCAGTATGTTTTGTTGCATGAGCCATATGAAGAACTTGATCTTATTAGGGGTGTTTAGTTTCCAAATCCAGTTGAAGTGGTCTTCATTAGAATTGTCATCATGCATAAGTGCATCAAGATAAGAGTAAACTGATTTGGTACTAAACGTGCCATTAGGGTTAAGGTTCTAGATTAGTTTGTCCTCAGCTGAAGTGGAGGTGCGGATGAAGGTGTTTTGTATTATTAGGGTGGTATCAAGCGGGATTGGGTAGGGAATGTAGCTGAAATCCCAAACCCCATTGGAAAACACCTCATTAATCCTGGTGTTCATGTCATTATGGTGCCATGGACCATTGAGGATAGTATCCAGAGGTTGCATTTTGGGCATCCATGGGTCAGTGAGAAATATAACCCTATTCCCTTTGTGAACCTCCCATCTAGTGCAATTAGTACAAATCTTCCATCCCTCGTGGATATTTTTCCAGGTTCTAGTTTTAGGCTTAACCCTACTCCCTCCTCCATTGCAGTGCTTGCCCATGAGCACTCTAGACCAGATGGAGGTAGTGTTGTTGTAGAGTCTCTTAGCAAGACTGGTGTGGCATGTTTTGTTCTTTAGGTGGGAGTGCTGGAGACCCATCCCTCTCTTGTTCTTTGATTTGGTGATAGTGGCCCACTTGACCATGTGTAACTTTCTTTTCATAGGGGTAGTACCCCAAATGAAATTCTTATAGATTTTGTCAATTTGGTTGGTTATTCGGGAGGGTAGCTGGATGTATTGCATGACATGGTTTGGGATGCTACTAAGGCATGCCTTAGCCAGAGTGGTTCGACCAACCATGTTTAGGAATTTTATTTTCCATCCTGTCATTCTACTATTAAGGTTATCTATGATGAACTGGAAGTCTCTGTTCTGAAGCCTTTTAGTGAAGATGGGGTACCCAAGGTATTTCCCAAAGTCTTTTGCACCTTTGATACCTAGAATGACACTGCATGTTGTGGCACACTCTGCTTGAAAATTAAAGGAAAAGATCACTTTGGATTTCTAGAGGTTGAATTTCTACCCAGATGCAGCATTGAAGCTGCCCAGAATGGCTAAGATTGACTCACAGTTACTTTTATTGGCTCTAGAAAACATAGTGAGGTCATCAGCAAAGAATAGGTAGGGGATTCTAGGCGCTCCCCTCCTAATACTGATAGGACACCAATCCTTCTCAGATACAGCATTGTCAATATCCCTGGATAGCCTTTCCATGCATACGATGAACAGGTAGGGCGACATAGGATCCCCCTGCCTAATGCCTCTACTGGGTATGAAGTACTCAGTCTGAGTACCATTGACTAGGATGGAGATGGAGCTTGTAGTGAGACAGGACATGATAAAGGTGGTAAGCTTAATGGGGAAGTTGAAGCAGAGAAGGGATTCTCTGATGAAAGACCATTCTATCCTGTCGAAAGCCTTCTCTAAGTCTACTTTCAGGATCATGTTGGCATTCTTGCCTTTCATGTTTTCGAAGTGGGTAATGTACTCTTGGACCACAACGACATTGTCACCAGCTCTTCTATTGGCTAGAAAGCTGGCTTAGGTAGAGCCAATGATGTTTTAGAGCATTGATTTGATTCTATTGACAATGATCTTAGTGATCAGCTTATACAGAGTGTTGCACAGACCAATTGGTTTGAAGTTTTTCAACATGGTGGCATTCGGGCATTTAGGGATGAGGCAGATATTGGTTTGGTTTATTTCAGGAGGGACCAAACTTGTGGCAAAGACAGTGTTGCAGAATTAGATAACACTGTTGGAGACTATGTGCCAGTACTTCTGATAGAAGAAGGGGTGGAGGCCATCAGGCCCAGGTACCTTCATGGCCTTGAAGGAGAACATGGCACACTTGATCTCAGGGAGCCTAAGGGTGGAGTCAATGGTGTCTTGCTCCCTGGTATTCAGTATATTAGTACTATCAGTGATGTGAATCCTGTTCAGCACTGAGCTGTGATGTTTAGTGGTATAGATTTTAGTGAAGTAGTTGAGGATTGTGCCTTTAATGTCCTGGGAATTCTGAATGTTGTTCCCCACGTCATCCTTGAGGGACATGATCTTGTTCCTCCTTCTTCTGTTAAGAGTGGATTTATGGAAGAATTTGGTGTTAGCGTCACCCTCACTCAACCAACTAATTCTGGATTTAAGCTTCCAGAAGTCTTCCTCACTCTGTAGAATGGCAGAGAAGTCATGTTGGATCTTGGCTTCCAGCTTCTGAAGGAAGGTGCTAAATGGGTAGGCATTGGACTTCTGAATACCAGAAAGTCTGGCAAGGATATGCCTTTTCCTATGGAAGATGTTGCCAAAGACATGTTTGTTCCAGTCAGTTACTCTGTTGGTAAAAACAGAGGTAGCTTCCACAATATTAGTCCTAGCATTAAAAATGTCCTCCGCAAGAGGGAGGAAATTCAAACTTGAAGGGTTTGTTTGCCCTGTTGTGATTCTGGTGGGAAAGGATTAAAAGAAGAGGACAGTGATCTGAGTGAGTCCTAGAAAGGCGTGTAACAATAGATGCAGGGAATTCCTCAATCCAAGCATCAGTTGCAAAACACCTATCGAGTCTTTCTAGGATTAGGTCTTGCTTATTGGAGTATCTCTTATTAGACCAAGTATATTTAGAGCCTTTAAACCCTAGGTCCACTAATTTGCAACTGTTTAAGCATTCCCAAAACCTATTGCTTCTATTAGTGTTCAAGCTATTCCGCCCAAACTTATCCCTGGCTTTTAGGAGTTCATTGAAATATCCTCCAACAAGCCAACTATCCCCATACACAAAAGCCAGATCCTCTAATGTATTCCGGAGCATATTTCTATTATTGACACAATTACTAGCATATATTGCAGAAAAAGCCCTTTAGTGGAGGAGGAGATTACCTTGACCATGACATGCACTCCCTGTGGATTAGTAGCTACTTCCTCTAGCTTAAGCAGATCATCCTTCCACATTAGAACTATCCCCCCAGATTGCCCAACAGCAGGGGATTGGAATTGGGCATCAAACTTGAGCTCAACAGTTAGGTGCTTGTGGTCTGCCATCCTAGTCTCCAGCAAGACCAGCATGGCAGGGTTATGGAGCTTCACTATAGATGAGCAGTGCCTATGGAACTCCCCACTGTTCATCCCCCTAGCATTCCATATTATGAAGTTCATTAAGAGGGGGCTTTCGGGTTGGAGCTTTTCTTTTGATTCCCTTCCCCTTGCCCATTGGGGTTGGGTTCATGGTGCCCACCAGAGGGACCAGAGACACAACTCAGTTTTTGAGTTTGGAAATGAGGGTATCCAGAGATCGAGTTTGCAGATTATGAGTTTTTTGGGGGCACAGAGCAATAAGCATTTCTCCTGACTGCTCTTTGAACTCTATCTCCAGGGGTTCCTACATGAGGAAGGCCTTTGCCTTTGGCATCCCTAATTTTTCTAGCATGTTCTCCAGGTCCACATTGGACTCTTGGAGATAGTCCAATGCCATGGTGGTGCCCCTGCTCAGAAGATCGATGGGAGAGAGTGGTTGTGATGGTGGTGGCTAAGGGATTTGGACTATTGTTGGCCAGAGTTGGAATGATGAAGATGGGAGTGTAGCCTCCAGATTCATAAGTGGGAAGAAGGGCATTGTCTGGCAAAGTTGGCCCATGAGTGCGTTGAGTTCCT